ATTATTATTATTATTATTATTATTATTATTATTACAGTTTTATTTTTTAGATTTACTAAACGCTCACTCGATCAGAGAGGACGTGTTTGTTTGCTTCGTCTTGCTGAACTCTTCTCTGGTGTCTCTTCAGTTTCCAAATCCAGAAGCTTTAGGCTTTTATCTGGTCCAACTTCTTATTTTACGACATTATAAATAAACTTTAAAATAAAAGGATTCATCAGTGACCCGGTCAGGCAGGAATTATTCTGTTTGTTAGAGGAGGGACGTGTCTTCAACTTGATTCCTTGTAGGGAACGTGCTGACAAGAAAACACTTGTTACACATTTAAACCTCTTTAAATGCCTTTTAAACACATGTTTTAGGAACTAAGACGTTTTAATTGTGAGTTTTAAAACTTCTGTGCTGTAAACCTTTGAATAATCTTAAATTAAAGTGAAGGACAACCCGTCTGTGTGTTTATTGTGGCGTTAAATGTCAGGAAGTGTCTGCTGCAGCAGAGTCATGTGACCCGAGGTGTGTCATGGTTTCTGTCATGTGACGCAGACGATGTGTTAGTTTACGCAGACTGACATCATCAGTGTCTTTCATTTGTTCTCTGGAAAGAAAAGTTAATCTCACTGCGTCAGTTCCGACGGACGAGCCGAGGACACGTTCAACAGATAAACAACAACAATAATCAAACTTACCGGTAAATAAAACAATAATAAAAGAAACAATAAAACTTCTAATTGAACTTGTTTATAGAGTGTTTTTGAGATCGATGCACTTTATTCAGAATCTCCTTTTGATCACTGGATTCAACTTTTATTTTATTTATCTTTTCTTTAGTCATTTTTATCTGAGCTGCTTTCAGAACTTTTAAGTTTATAAGTCGTTTAACAGCAATAAACTCACAACCGTTGCAAAAAAATAAAAATCTACAACCACAAATCTGAAGAAGTAAGTAAACTTTATTTATATAGCACCTTTGACGGGTCAGAAACCACAAAGTGCTTTACAGAATATAAGACATACGGTATATTTTGGATTAGGAGGTGCATTAAGTGAAACTAAACAGTCAGATAAATCAAATTTTATTATTATTATCTGATTATAAAGCTCACTGTCGAGTTTTGAGATAATTAAAGGATTTTAAGAGTGTTTTGTAGTCTGAAAAATACAGATTAAACACAAAAGATAAAACAGAAGGAGAGATAAAACAACGTACGTGTGACATAAGACAAAATAAAACTAATTAAAAGCCAATCTGAACAAACTGAATAATCTGAACAAACTGAATAATCTGAACAAACTGAATAATCTGAACAAACTGAATAAACTGAACAAACTGAATAATCTGAATTAATTGAATAATCTGAACTAACTGAATAATCTGAACAAACTGAATAAACTGAACAAACTGAATAATCTGAATTAACTGAATAATCCGAATTAACTGAATAATCTGAACAAACTGAATAATCTGAATTAACTGAATAATCTGAACAAACTGAATAATCTGAACAAACTGAATAAACTGAACAAACTGAAAAATATGAACAAACTTAATAATCTGAACAAACTGAATAAACTGAACAAATGGAATAAGATGAACAAACTGAATAATCTGAACAAATTGAATAATCTAAACAAACTGAATAAGATGAACAAACTGAATAATCTGAACAAATGGAATAAAATGAACTAACTGAATAATCTGAACAAACTGAATAATCTGAACAAATTGAATAATCTGAACAAATTGAATAATCTGAATAATCTGAACAAACTGAATAAACTGAACAAATTGAATAATCTGAACAAAGTGAATAATCTGAATAATCTGAACAAACTGAATGAACTGAACAAACTGAATAATCTGAATTAACTGAATAATCTGAACTAACTGAATAATCTGAACTAACTGAATAATCTGAACAAACTGAATAATCTGAACAAACTGAATAAT